CTGAAAGTATCGAAAATCATACGCACTGTTTGACCAATCTTTCCAACCAATAAGAACTCGAAGCAGGAATTACGGAAGGCAAACAGGTACAAAGCTCTAAACCTGGACCTAGGCTGACCTTCAATCTTAAATCCTGGTATCCCTTCCACCTTCCAACTCCATTTCTGTTGGCATCTAAACCCACGCATTCCACGCTGCTTCTTTGACAGGAGTTCGATGGCCCTTGCCGTTCAAAATGGCGTGAAGTATATCGTTTTCCCTGCTATTTAATTTCCATTACTCGTAGTCTCCTTGAGTGCTGTGAGAGAAGCGCGCAGGTCTGGAAGACATGTAATTGATTATATATCAAAACATCATATAAAAGAAATAAAAAATTTGTCTACAAAAAATACATCATTAATCAATTAAATAAGAGAAATGTTAAATCGACACATCACGTTATTTTTTTTTTATGACGGGTATTACATGTAGCTCTAGTGACACAGTCATAATCATCGAACATAATAGATAGTTCATCGTTTTAGATAAAACCATGAGCTTCTGAGAAGTTAACAATTTTTAAAAAAAAAAAGTTACGTGATGGGTGGATTTAGTAAAGAGATGGGTCGATTTAAGATTTCACATTAATAAATATAATTAATACATTAGTAGAAAAATATATCAATAAACATTCAAAATGACCATAATTGAATGCATTTCTTCATATGCAAATTAGATTTGGTTGTAGTTGTTCTTTAAATCTAACTTGGTCAAGTATTTGTTTCACCAATTCAATTTAATTGTCTAGCACTCATCATATGCCTACTTCATCAGCTTTAAATTTAACTTCATGACAAAGAATTTCATGTTGTTCTAAGATAAATCAATGTAATATCTTGCGTAGTTTCATAATCTCATCCAAAATAATTAGTTAGGTATGTTTTTCGATTTTATAGTGAGTACCAATCATTTTCTCCCTCCAATACTGATTTTTCTTTGTAACGTTGCGAAGCAACTTTACTCATGATTTTTTTTGTACTCTACTTCATCAACTTATTTGTATTCTGTATTTTCAATGTCATGGAAAATACAGAATATATTACAGAAAGAATCACCTTCATCAACTTTTTTTAATTCTGTATTTTCCATGGTATTGAAAGGTAGCTGTTGTACTTTCATACGTACAACAACGACATATGAATGTGCGTAATCCTTGTGATTCAAATATGAATTCTTATTCCGCATACATACCATACATATAATTTAAAGGGTGACTTCTTGACTCAAAGGTGACACAGGAGTTCACGGTCGTGACCGTATGCCGTCAACCCACAGGCATACTGTAGGGGGTGAGTCTAGGCTGGAATCTAACAAGTAACAACTAATGAAAACGAGTACTATGTTTAGGAGCTTGGGATCTCATCTTCATGCATGAGGGTTGAAGCAACGACCATAAAATAAATTTGGACCGCACTTTACTTTCGGCTTTTTAAGTAAAAAGATACTCGAGACATACCAGAAAACTGCAATGGAAACTTTAGCGATGAACGTCACTGCTTCTTTCCATAGCAGTGATGTTCATCGCTAAGGTACGCATTCTTATGAATCTGCAAGATGAGCAGAATGACTGAGTTGGAGTGATAGCTTTTACTCAAGCTTTACAATCAATCGACATTTGATGCCAAATGAAAGGAAGTAGCCTTCTGGCACGTGAATATATTTATAGACAATATGAACAAATAGCCTCTTTATACAACATCGGGAATAAGTGGCCATTCACAGCAGCTACTTTCCATCTTTTTGCAAACTAGAATTCAAACATCATGTAATCTAAAGAGTAAGGAGAGATGAGCATCTGAGAATTAGTCAACCTGTATATTATCACTTCACCACAACTGAAAACCACCTGAAACGCCCAGTTCGAAACGAATACTTGATAATATAAATAAACAAATTATTTCACATCATGTGGAAATTCAGAACGTCTCTTCCACTCGTATATATTCATCTCTTGCTTATTTGCAGATGGAAGTTGTGCGAGAGCTGACCACACTTTACGGCTTACGTCTACATGACCCAAATAGGACTGAAACACATTAGAGCTTGTACCTGTTTCAAATAAAAATAAGATCATCCCCAAGCTTGCACTTCTGCACCAAATGCCTCAATCGTTCACATATCTCGCCTGTCAGCAAATGGTGCCTGGCGCGTTGGAGGTCGATGCATGCTATTTGAAGATTCTGGACGCGCGAATTTACCACTCTCAGGCAGCGAGAAATGGCTCTCTGCGCGGGCGTTCGTGCTGCGAGCACCAATTCCGCGCCCCGAGCGGTTCCGCTGCGCGGCTCCGTGGCCGCGCTCGCGCACCTGGTCTCCCTCCGCTCTCGATTACCCGCTCTGCGTTGGTGCTCTGTTGCTTGACGATTCCTTCGAATCATGACTCGCTGAGGCGGAATCGGTGGCTGGCGAATTGCAGGCCCAGGCGCAATTCGCTGGTTGCAGTCCTCGTTCAGGAGTCTCTGGTCGAATCCTTCAGCAACCTTCTCTACAGCATGGCATGGTATGACTAGACACTCACGCACATGCGTGCAACGATTAATAGTCGGCCGGCATGGCATAGCATGACATGAAATGCCATGCCACTTAATCACATGAGTCAACGCCACGTCGCGGGGAAGAGTCCACTGCCAACCCTCGTCCGAGTTACAGTAGTCTAGAATGTTATGGCATTGCATGGTCTGACTTGGCAATCACGCACATGCGTGCAACGACTGACAGTTTACTGCGAACCCTCGCCTTGCTTCGCATGGCATGACGTGGCACTCAAACAGATGCGTACAACGCGGATCGAGTCCAATGCCAACTGTAGTCCGGCTTGGCATGGCATGATAAGGCTTGGCACTCACGCACATGCGTAAAACGCGGAAGGAGTCGGCTGGTTACCCTCGTCCGGCTTGGCATGGCACTCTCTTGGATATTTTTCGCGCGTTTTCCGCTAGAATTTGTCCCTCTCCGCGTCTCGCGCAGGACACGCAATCGGGAGTTTTCACTCGAGTTGGGAACCTTCTCGACGTTGGAGTGACCGGCTCAGGCTCGGTTTCCACGGCCTTCTGCTGCTCTGGGAGATTGCGTTCTGGGACGGCCTTTTCTGTTACAGTTTTCTAACAAATTATTTGCGTCTCGAAACAATGAAGTGGTCTCGTCCGGACGCTAATGCCTCGGATTCTCCACCCTTGGAGTCCGGCACCAAGCGACAATCGTAGGAGGCTGATGCTGCAGTGATAGAGCGTGGCGAGCTAAGGACATTCTTTTCCCTCTCCGAGACCTGCAAGCTCGTGCTGCAGCGAGGGGATCTCATCCAATGGCATTTCAACGGTCAAACCAATGCGATTTTAGAATCCATTCCTTTTCACACGTGAAAGTGGCTCAATTTCAGCCTGTCTTTGTTCTTTTGCTAGCGTCATCGTTGTAATTCCCTCTGTGACACAAGTGTCTTATTCTAAATCGATTCTTCACTTATCATTCTCCTGGTCATAGTGGCTCCAGGTCGAGGCGGCCAATCAGCGAATGTTGGGCGGTGGACAGAGGTATGGGGTTATCTAACATCTGTAGCATGTTTTGCTATTAGTCGCATACATTTTCAACAAACTTGAGCATTGTTGGGAGTAAGATCTGTAGCCATAGTTGTCGTGTTTACTTCACTTGTTTCACAGTCAGACTAATATATTTCCAAAAAAATTTCAGATAGTTGGGAGTAAAATCTGTAAACATTGTTCTAGAGACTATTTCTATGTGTTTTGCAATTAGTCTGCTTCATTTTCAAAAAAAACTTTCAGATGGTTGTAATCATAGCTGTCGAGTCTACTTCTTTTGCAGTTAATATCAGACACTTTCAAACAACTTCAAGATGGTTGGAAGTAACACCTGTAATCATAGTTGTCGAGTATGATTTTGCTTGTTTTGCAGTTCTTCTGATACACTTCCAAAACTTTAAGATGGTTAATGATGATTATTTTTTGGGATTACTTTTGCCTGTTTGCAATTATTCTCATACATTTTCAAACACCTTTAAGATGATTGGAAATAAGATCTGCAACCTTAGTTGTTGAGCTTAGTTTTACTTTCTAATCTTTGTCTCATACATGTAGGAAAAACTTTAAGATGATTGGAGATAATTATTTGTTGGGTTTACTTTTGCCTTTTGCAGTTATTCTCATGCATGTCCAAACACCTTCAAGATGATTGGGAAAAAGTTCTGTAACCATAGTTATCGAGTATAATTTTTCCCTCGTGAAGTTTGTCTCATGCATTTCCAAAAAACTTTAAGATAGTTAGCCATAAGATTTGTAGCCATAGTTTTTGTGTATACTTCTATGTGCTTTGCAGTTAGTGTCACACATATTCTGTGGGGGGAGTAAGATCTGTGATCATAGTTTTTGATTCTAGTTCTGCTTGTTTTGCAATTAGTCTCATATAAAAAAACAAAACTCTGAGATGATTGGGAGTAAGATCTACTATCATAGTTGTCAAGTCTAGTTCTACTTGTTTGCAGTCAGTCTCATACATTATTCAAACACTTTGAGATGGTTGGAAGTAACATGACTAGCCATAGTTTCCAAATCTACTTCTACATGTTTTATACTTAGTCTTATTCATTTCCAAAAAGCTCTGAGATAGTTGAGAGTAAGATCTGTAGCCATATTTATGGAAGTCAACTTTTGCATGTTTTGCAATAAAGTTTCATACATTGTCCAGTGTACTTCTGCCTGTTTTGCACTTAGTCTCATACATTGTCTATCTGCCTGTTTTAAAGTTAGTCTTATACATTGTCGAGACTACTTCTATCTATTCTGCTGTTAGTCTCATACAATTTCCAAAACTTTATATGTTTGGGAGTAACATCTCTAGCCAAGTTTTGTTACCATAGTTGTTGAGGCTAGTTCTACTTGTTTTGCAATTCGTTTCATATATTTCCAAAAACTTTAAGATGGTTGAGAGTAATAGTTCTGGCCATAGGTGTCATGGCTACTTACCTTGTTTTGCATTTAGTGTCATACATTTCCAGAAAGGTGACGACTAGGGCCACACCCATTTTTACTACGGCCACACCCGCCCGTGTAAGTTGCCTCGATCAAAGTCGCCGAAGGGGGTTGAAGCAGCATGGCAGTCGAAATAGATCAATAGAAAGGCAGCACCGGCTGCAGCGGTACAAGCGGCAGCAACGCGGGAGACAACGACGGCCGCAGTGGCCCCACGCCCCTCGAAGCCTCTCGACTACGCTCTCCTCTGCCCTCCTCTGCCTCACGGACGAGCTCGGCTTAGCAGCCGGATTTCAGAGGCTCACACTGCATGCGGGTTTGAGGGGAGGCGTGCTTTGACGCGCAATCAGTTGTTTGTATGTAGCGGGTGTGGCCGTAGTTGTACCCTTCCAGAAACTGTAAGATGGTTGAGAGTAAGATCTGTAAGAAGTGTTGTCTAGTTTATTTCTATTCTGCAGCTTGTCTTATACATTTCCAGAAAGCTGTAAGATGGTTGGGAGTAAAATATGTAACCATAGTTGTAGAGTCTACTTTTATCTATTCTTCAGCTTTTCTTATACATTTCCAAAAATCTGTAAGATGGTTGGGAGTAAAATATGTAACCATAGTTGTAGAGTCCATTATTATCTATTCTGCAGCTTGTCTTATACATTTCCAAAAATCTGTAAATGGTTGGGAGAAAAATATGTGACCATAATTGTAGAGTCTACTTTTATCTATTCTGCAGTTTGTCTCATACATTTCCAAAAACAATTCAAGATATTTGGAGTTAAGTATGTAGTCATAACTGTTTACTTCTATTTGTTTTGCAATCAATCTCATATATTTTTAAAAACTTAAGATAGTTGGGTCTAAGATACATTGCCATAATTGTTTGATATACTTCTGCCTGTTTTGCTGTTAGCCTCATACATTTTTTTAAAAAAAATCTGTCGCAATGGCTCGATTTAGTCTCACTCATTTCCAAAAAAAAATTTAAGATGTTTGGGAAGATGACTCGCTGAACCACGATGTGCAGCCATTCACGCCAGTGCCGGCCCAGAACTGAAGAAAGCGTGCTTATTTCTTCACCAGGTGACTAGAAATGTTGGCTGCCCGATTGGTGAAGCTAGAATTAAGAGGTTAGGCATCTTGTCATTTTCCATTTAAGAATCTCTTTTCAATCCATTCCTTTGTTGTACTACCGACAGCAGATTCCCGGTCTACTCCCGGGAGTGCATTTTTGATTGCTTCGATCGTTCTACTTGTTAAGGTCCACAGTTGTTTCCATGCAAAAAGCGGATCCAGACTGAAAGTATCGAAAATCATACACACTGTTGGAGCAATCTATCCAACCAATAAGAAATCGGACAGGAATTACGGAAGGCATACAGGTACAAAGCTCTAAACCTGGATCTAGGCCGACCTTGAATCTTGAATCCTGGTATCCCTTCCACCTTCCAACTCCATTTCTGTTGGCATTTAAACCCACGCATTCGACGCATTCGACGCTGCTTCTTTGTCAGGAGTTCGATGGCCCTTGCCGTTCAAAATGGCGTGAAGTACATCGCTTTCCCTGCTATTTCATGTGGTTTATATCAGTACCCACTCGAAAAGGCGTCAGTCGTCGCCTTGAGTGCTGTGAGGGAGGGCTGCGCAGGTCTGGAAGAGGTGAATACATGCTTACCTTGATCTCTCTGAACAAGGCTTTAGTCAAATCCGCCATTTCCAGGGAGTTGGGACTGAGGAGTTTTGCAGAGTTTGAACTTAACTTCTGGAAAATCTGAACCGAATTCGAACAGATCGGTAAGCACCGAGAGGAGATATTTTCCTAGTTACAGAATTGACTCTATGTGAATATCATCATCTGCTGACTGGGCGGTACCTATCTGTCATTTTTAGGTCGTTTCAATGGCATTGTCAGAAGACTGGTGAATGAAGAATGAAGTTTCATGACACTTTGTACCGTCGTGTATCAGGTGCGTTTCATTCACTTCGAAGAAAACACTTACCTCGCCTGGATGGAGGAAGCTAAAAGAATGTTTCCAGGATCACAAGAAACTTAAGAACTCTTGCTGGAGGTAGTCTTGCCACAGCATAGCGTTAAACTCTTGCTTTATACGTGACTGCTGAACATCAGCAGTTATGGAGCAGACTCAAAAGACTTCGGTTAGACAGTCAGGTGTCCCTCGTCAGATCCAAATGTTTTTCTTGAAAAATAAGAGATGAAATAAACCGAGCTTTTTTTCTACTGGATAATCGCTTTACCATCTGTAGTTGTTTCTGACAGTGCACATCGTGAATGAAGAAAGTAGATCTATATTGAGGAAAAAATACCAAAAGCCTAATGTCCAAATCAAAAGTCTAGTCAAATAGTGTAATTTTATCGTTAATATCGGCTATTTGCAATTAAAACTTTGATTAGTAATCTTTGCCAACGAGTAACATGATGATAAACCATACCTCTTGCAGTTTTACAGAAGCTGTGGTAATCCACTTTTTGTCTTTTTTGTGGAAATTAAAACAATTTTGGAAAACAGTACCGCAGCAACCGTGTAAATGGTGATAGGTACATTTAAATAGAATGAAAATGGATAATCGCGGATCTCGCAGGATCTTGTAGAATTCAGAAGTTGGGCGCAATGTCCGGAACAGGCGCCGACCTAAACGATCGATTCTGAAGGAGTTCTCCTTTCGCGCAAGGCGCATAATCCGCCTTCGGCACTAGAGGGACCTCAGAATTTATGCAATTCACAAACGCCTTGACTTGCTCAGGGTCTTTTTGAAAAGAGCTCGACGCGCTCGTTCTAACGAGCCCAAGAACGCCTGGAACGGATGAGGACTCAGGGAGTTGTGACTATCGGAAGATGCGAAGACGGGCGCCTACACATAGGCGGAAGGAGTTCGTCGTCGGCGGGAAGTCCGCCGAGAATTTTGCCTACCCACAGGCGGAAGGAAGTTTGCCTACGCATAGGCGAAAGGAATTCACCTACGCGTAGGCACTTCGCCCTGAAGTTTGCCTTCGGAGGTGGAGCTCGTACGGTGCCTACAGTGCCAGCGCATCAAGGTTAGGTAAGGGCCCAACGGGGTAGCGAATCCGTACGGTCCGCCTTCGGCTCAACGCGACGGCGGTACGGACAGAGGTGCGCCCTCGGAGGGGACAAGGACTCCGGAGGCGAGAGCGCCTGCGGAGAGGCGAGAGAGATTGACAGACAGGACGGAATCTGTTGACCTTCGGCACAGCCGCCTTCGGCACTGCGCCTACGCCGACGGACAACGTAAGGGACCTACGCCGACGGACATCTTCGGTGCGGACGGTCAGCGCCTACGCACAGGCGTATGGAGTTCGTCGCCGGCGGAAAGTCCGCCGGGAAATCCGTCTTCGGTAGAGGGAGTTCGGCTTCGACGGAGCGTGCGGAGGAATGCCTTCGGCGGAGCGGGATTGATGCGAGTCAGAGTACGAATGCGAGTAGCGCGTCGGCGAGAATTACGCCTTCGGCGCTGCGCGGCCATGGCCGCGGCGTTGTACGCTGGCGGAGTTCAAATTGACATTTCGAGCGTGCGAGTGCGCGCGACGGCGGAGCGTGAAGCCGCACGTGCGAGAGGAGGGCCGTTACACCTCCGAGCCGGCGCAGCCATCAAGTGAGTTGACATTCACGACCGAGAGCCGATTATGACATCCTGCGAGCGAAGAGCAGACACCCCATTCTTGAATTTGCGATTTCAATTTCTTGTGCGAGCTGCGCGCGTCCACCTTCTAGCCGAGAGACATTCCAGACACCACCACGCAGAGACTCACCCGGTGGCAGAGAGAGAATTGAGTGCGCGACAGTCGGAATCGAGAGAGATTAGAGTTTGCAGGAGAATCGAAGTAGTGCGCAAGAAGCTTGAGGGTAGCAGAAGAAGGTTCACGCAATCGAATTTCAAGAACGCTATGTCGAAGTCCACTCAGCTGCGGATGGTTCCACTCAAGCTTCCGCAGATTGGGTTGCGTGCTTTTCAGGACCGGCTGATTGCAGTGAAACTCGATTTCATGCTGTGGGGATGGAATTACGTGTGCCTGAACATGGTGCGCGAATGGCAATGGGAGAGACACCAGCCTACGCGCGGATTTCGACCGCACGTAGATCGTTGGACTGTCCACGATTGGGGACAAGTGCTAGGGAGATGTGCAGGCGAGGATGGGTTACTCCTGTTTGACAGTGAGAGCGTCAAGGTGTCGAAGGCGGAAGAGGCCTCCTTTGTGGAATTGTTCAAGAGAGAGAAGTCCACCAAGAACGGGTACAGGACCCGTGACTACAAAGATCGCTTCCGCAGAAACGTAGCGATAGCACTTCTGCAACCCTTGCAGCCGCACCGCACAACGTACATCACTTCTTGGCAAGTGTCTTTCGTGGAGCTCACATTGGCCGGAGCTCCAGTTCACTGGTCGTGTATCTTGCATAGAGTAACGCGGCAGCATGCGTTTGAGGAGAAGGGAGGAACGATCAATCATCTCTCTCCCTTCTTGATAAACTTTTATCGGTCGATGGGTTGCTTAACCGCGACCGAGCGTATTCAGTTTCCGCTGTTGTCACTCGGCAATCTCGGGAGGTATGTGCGGGATAACGAGGTCGACTCCGACGCGGAGTCCACTCCGACTTCCACTCCACCGGCTCAACAGGATACGGGGAGAGATACATCCGCAGCGCGAGTGCCGCGGAAACGGAGATGGAGAGAGGAACCGGAGAAAGAGCAACATCAAGATTCGGCTGCTCTCACACGGAAGCGGCCACTCCACGAGCTCTACAGTCGGCCGAAGCAGAAAGCGCGCCGGCTTGTACTACCTGCAAGTAGCGCGGAAACGGCGCGGGCCGCCGGAGAGAGAAGGAGATCCCATCCTCGGAGGAGGACTGTAATAACCCACTAAAGGCTAAAACTGCAATATAGTGGTAGAAAGGTCGAACCCACAGGGACAGAGGAACACACAGGGTACAAAGTGTCACATTTAACAGACTATTGAGGAGTTTGAATTCTCAGGCGACTGTCACTCCCAGAAATACTGCAAGTGTTCACTCGGAGCTCACTCGGAGGTCGCACAGTGCAGCGTAGTTCACTCAACACACACACACACACCTGAAACTACAGAAACACAACCCAGAGATCGGTTAGAACCTCTACTTAAGATTTCAGGGGGGAAAGTCTCTCGCGAGTACACTCAGCGAATCTGCGGGTAGTGACTCCCAACTCCGGCTTTTACAACCCTTCCACTAGCCTTCTGCTAGCGTGGGAAACCCGGGTTGGACTTCCTACTTCGGATCGAAGTCACTCACACGCGGTGAACAACACTCTCAACTCATAAAACGCGCAAAGAACACAGGTCCGCACGGAGGGACTCAACTGAGAAACGATCCAGCAGCACACCATAACAGTCTATTGAAGAGTTTGAATTCTCTAAGTAGGTATTGGGAGTGGAACTGAAATCGAAGGTGGGAACTGAGGATTTGAGACTGAAATCTGATACTCGACATTGTGGGTGGAATATGATAGGAGGGAGAAATCCCTGAGTGCAAGGGCGTTGAGTGCGTGGGGCCGCTGATAATGTCGCCGGAGGGCTGAGTGGAGAGTGTGTGTGAAGGCCAAGAGGGTCGCTGGGCTGAGAGTGAGTTGATCACTAAGAGGAAGAATCAAGCAAAGTGTTGAGAGTAGAATCGTGTTCCCTGGGTGTGAAGATTGCTGTTAAGAAGGGTGTCACCTCGTGCTGCCGGTGTGTTACCTAACTTAGTCCGAGGCAATGTGTCCGAGATGTGGCACTCATTCTAGGATAGGCCCGCAGCGGCCGTAGTATTGAGAAAGTCACCCAGAGTTGGGATAGATCTTTATGTTACGAGGAGCTTGTCTGCTACTCTTGTGAAAATAGCAGACAGCAAGTTGTTAGTGTCAGTTCTGGACAATTTGTTTGTGGAAAAGCGAGTATTTATAATTTCATTGTCTTGAATACACTTTGAGCACATGGCTTGAGATCAGAGAAGTTGGATTATGGGAGCTTAAACCCCCACCTGGATTACAAACGCTGAAGGGTGGGGAGTTTAGGCTCACAACGAACTATCTTCGATGTGACGCATCGGAAATCTAGTTTCTTCATTATTCCGCTAATCACCAGACAGACTAGCTTTCTCCATTTCCCTTGGCTTTGTATCGCTATCGAGGTTGTATTCCACGTGACTCACATTTCGACTGTTTTAATAGTTTCTAACGAGACTGGATACTCTATTTTATGAATTTATTCTTTTATGCTCGACTTACTAGAATAGGTTATGGCCTCTTCAAATAGAAATGCTTACTTATATTTAATCACTAGTTAGTGTATTTAGAAGGTTGCGAAACGCAGCAAGTTTCCTGACGCGAAACCTGAATGCTCTCGTTGGGATTGCCAGTGACATGTCGTATATCGTGGTTTGAGAATCTGGACTTTCGCTGTATATTTATCAGTACAGTACTTTGTGGAGACAGATCGATGGACCAATTCTTTGGCTAAGCCACAGGGATAATAAAACTTACAGCTCAAAGGTCTTACTAATCCTCCTCTCTGACACCCTACCAGTTCTCCACCTGGACATCACATGGAGCAGATGATTAAGAAGCCGGACTCGCTGGATGATTCACGAATTCTGCCTCATCCCTCAAAACGTGGAAGCGACTCTAAGGATGAACAGAATGAAATCAGTTGTTGCTCGATTCCCCACGCTTGGCACTTGCAAATCTCAATCATAATTTATCTTGCATGTTTGCAGCAAACGTCATCTTCTTCAACGGTCGGACTGTTTTTGTCATTCGAGTTCTAACATATATTTCATAACATTTGGGTTCTGAAAATATAAGCAGTAATATAAGTTATAATGTTTCCAGGGTATTGGCCAGAATTCAACATCAACCGGGAAAATCAAATAGGTGAGTATCATTCACAAGTGCCTTGACTGTAATACGGTTATCTCCTTGCATGTATAGCACGAGGAAGCAATGAGGTGATAGCTAAAGTTCGTAGGCCCAAGTATTTTATCTTATATTATCAATCTTATATAATCCTGGTTTATATTATGATCTATAATAATCTTTATAATAATTTTTAACCATTTAAATTAAAAAATTTAAATAAACTCAAAACCATGAGTTAAAAAATTTTGATTTAATTCAAGTCTTGTTATTTGTAAGTAGTGTAATTATGATAAGTATAGCTAATTTAACCATATTATATAAGACTACTAGTAAAAAAAAATTTACCCCAATTTATGACTTAAGTCAAGAATTTTTTTCAGAAAAATTTGACTTTATAAAAGAAATAAATGAATTATTTATCCGCTTGATTGAAAATATTTTTCTTTCTGTCATCAAAATTAAATCAATAAAATGCACGGATTATTCATGTATGTGTTTGAATTTTCTCGCCGTTTGCGTTGTTTTTATTTTTTACTTCTATCATACATTCATGAAAAAAGATGAAAAATGGAAAAAAAACTACAGATTGTAGATTAATAATTCGAATACAAACATGTCTTGATATACAGTTTAATTAATTTTCATTGATATTCTCATCTTTATCACTTTAGATGAATTTGTAGCAAGATATCTTAGCACCCTCAAATTAATTGCATACATTTGAAAACTCTATTGATTTCATAAAGTTTTTCTAGTCACTTTATAGAGTTCTTCAAGGTGATTGTTTTACTTATAAGAATCCTAAATCTGTTCTTAATAGGTTAGATCCTAGTAAACTTTTCACATGTGAGAAGGATCACATGAGCGTTGAAAGTAATATATTTAAGACATTTCATTGTGATTTTTCATCGATTATTCATCATTCAACATTTCTGTTTCGAAACTGACTATGCTAGAAATTTAATGAATATCGGTATGGCAAAAAAAATTGATAATATTCACACTGATCTGGCTGTTTTGCATGTGAATTTTACAAAAAAATAAATTAAAGTTTACAATTCTTTGCATATGATATAATACAGTAGAACATCAGTCTCTTCAAACGTTTTTGTAAGTTAATAAAAATTATTATCATTAAGAATGTTGATGGATTTTCTTTTTATTCGAAAGTTGAATAGAAAATGTACAAGATAATTTCAGAGGTTGTAAATTTCTATGAAGTTTTGTGCTCAGTTTATATTTGTTTAATCATTCATTTTACTACAGGAGCTTGATTACAATTTTGATCAGGCAGGAATACAATGATTGTTATTTAGAAAATTTTGTGTACAAAAAATTTTGTAACTCAAAAGTGCAGTTTAGTATACACATGTTACTCTTTGTTTAGCCATCCACTTATAAAGGTTCAAGTGGATGGCTCCTATGCTATCTCAAAGTGGATATGCAACTAGAGATTCAACATCTTAGATTCCTTCATCTTCACTAAACCTAAATGCTCATGTGAAGAGATGCTATTCCGATTTCTGAGTCGTAGCCTAAACTAATACAAGATTAAGGCCAGCCCTCTGTTTCCTGCCGAAGTGTGGTGGATTAGCCACATGGAAGTTTAGGCAACTCCGAGAGTTATTGCTGAGCTCAATGATTTTAGATTTCTGCTGAGTTGCGAGTAACATCTCTCGTAGTTGTTGTGAAGATGAAGTCTAAAACCTTGCACTTGACATGGACAATTTGTGAACCTCTGCGTGACTTGGATTCAAGTCATCGGGAACACATCCCCATAATCTATGACACTCTGACATCTCGGTGCAATGAGAGTTTCGGCTCTGAGGACCCTTCCCGATGGTTACATTGAACCTACCCAGAGAGGTCCCGGACATCTACTGCATCTGTATTTCGTCTTTGAAATTTGAGATTTGTTGACCAGGTCCGAGTGCCTTCTCTACATCAAGGTTCTATATAAACGTGGAAAGACACCTTTCGATATTACCCAAGTTTTGATAGTGAGCAATAGGCTTCAAGCCTCTTGCTTCGAATGCTAATCTCTGACAATCCACGTGAACGGCTCATTGTCCTCTACAAGAAGATGAGATTAGTTTCACACGCTCTGCACTTTTGGTCTCACCGTTGTCGGTTATCGCTCATTGGAGCTCTCTGCTGTGGTCAGGACCAAGGTTTACCATCCACACGTTATACACTCTCTGACCAGGAACGAATACGAGGAAATGCTAAGACCAGGAAATGCTTGTACGCGTATGTTTGTTGGGCCATTGATAGATTTTTGTGCAAGTACGATTATTCCCTGGCCAACGATATGGAATGCAAAATAGCAAATACCCTCTCTTGGGTTGAATCAGTTAAGTACTATTACTTTGCTGATGCCTGAAGCACATCAGCTCTGGCAAAGGCAATCTTTATCAGCACAAAGAAGGGTCAGCTTCTCAGTACCATTGCCAGGAGTTTGACAAACGGTTCGGCGGTCTCTTTACCAGTATGGATTACCACAACAGAGCTGACGTGCAAAGTTATTCAAATTGAATGATTTCGGACTTCTATCTGGAGACATTGCAGCTCTGTTCTATCCTGAAAGACACACACCGAATAGTTCAAACAAACAAGCAAATATCACTCCACCTTCCGACACAGTACTGTTAATTTCTCGTCACAACTTCTAGTGATGTGACACAAACCAGGTTCGGGCTTTGCGGATAGTATCGTGTTACTATCCAAGCTCTGTATAAAATTCATGATTTCAGATGCATAGTTCAAACGCCTCCCAGCACAACCGGTCAACTTCTACACATGACCACATGAAGATTGTTAAATTCAAAGGTTTAGTAGCTGAGCTTCTCTCGCACAACAGATGGCAAGTTCCCTCTTTCACGTTCATCTGGAACAGATGACAGAAACATTTCATGCGTGTTCCGTTAGCTGTGACGACTCTGCATGACGTGAAGCGAGGTATTGAAACTTGGCCATCCTATGCATTACTGGATCTTATAATGCCTACATTGCCATCTATCCAGACTAGCTTTTGGCCTCCGCCCCTGAACTAGCAAAACGTGCACTGCACGTAGACTTTAAACGTGGGAAAGTGCATAATTGTGTCGCAATCTGGACGATTCATAATCAAAGTTAAGTTTGGTACATGAAGCAGAACAGCATGCTCGACAATAAAGAACCTCGATAATCTGCAGGAGCAATGTACACCTTGCGAGCGCCCTCGTGCAGTCTGAACTGGCGTCAACATTCGTTCCAGACAACCGAACACTCGCCAAACCGACTGAACTTAAGAATCACTTTCCAGTCAATCGAGTTAGGAGAATTTTCCGCACACCCGGCCAGGAATGAGACACAGTGGGTGAATTGGGAGCGGATTGTAAGGGTTATTAACATCACCAAGCCAATCCAAAAGCAAAAAAGAAACAACAGTCGCGGAGTCTGGAAGAGCAACACGTCTTGATCATCCTGGATGATAGGACTGCAGTAAGGATTATCTTATACGTCGTCATACCATCCGGGGTGATCGAAGCGCATTGATGTCCTAGAGAGTGGGGAGAACGCGCGCGGGAGTCCAGCGCCTGCCCCACAATGCCGTCTCCAGTGATGCGCCACACGGTCGCAAAGAGGGAGGAAGGGAGAGCGACAGAGCTCACAATGGATAGCGTAAACTCCACAGCCAGGAACAAGTACCCGTGCCCCACACGAGCCTGACGGAAAAGCAGACGCTATCCCTCCTGAGCTTTGTCGCTCTGACCAACCTGAGAGGCCTCGGCATCGTTATGTACAATATTGGCCCAGAAGGCGAGAGTGTGCCCTTCACAAAAGTGGAGCAGGAGAATCCTATCAACAACATCGGTAGATCGTCCACTGTGCCACCGAACCCTGATGGCAGCCTGTAGAAGGCCTCGAGGCGAAGATTTCCAGCAACGTGAGAGAAAAGAAAGCCAGATCCGAAAGACGACGGGAAAGTTCTCGCAAAAGGACGCGCAGCAAGCCAAGGGAGGAGAAAGACCGAACGTGGCCGAGGTCCCGGCCGGAACTGGAGATGGGCGTACCGGGCGCTCGAGAAATCGCTGCACGCAGCAGGAAGCAATTCACGACGGGGAGGCTGACATGAGGGAGTAAGCAAGTGCTCAGCGGACGACTCATGGCGGATGCGAGAGCCGTGCTCGACGCCCCGAGAGAGCTGTGACGATAGGACCAATGTTCAATTGGCAGCTCGAGCAAAGGCGACTTCCAACACCACCACCACCACCGACCGAACTCACCGAGGCCTAATCGCCTGTCCGAGTAGCCCCGCAAGGCAATGCCGCGAGGCCGACGATGGATCATCTCGCCTTTGCAAGAGCTGACAGATGAAAACTGGAGATCCAAGCTCTGCGCACGTCGTCGATCTCCATTGCGCTTTCGCCATTCCGCCTGCTGACAGAGGGGAACTAGTGGTTCCCCCCGGCCACCAGATACCGCCTCCCCGATCAGGCCTCCAGCGGCACGCATTCAAACTCCGCCCCGCGAGACACCGCGCCACCGAGCCTGCCTGCCAGCCAGCCTGCCAGCGTGGCGCGAGCGCCAGCCACGCTGGCTGCCACGCGAGCGATGACACCCGCCCCCGCGACGGGCCCTGTCCCGGCGCACGAGTAGCTCTGTCAGCGACGACAACCCTAAACGAGAGGCTGGCTCTGCCGGCGCTAAACGATGGCCCCTTCCTCTCCCTCTGTCCCTCCCCTTCTCTCTCTCTCTCTCTCGGCGAGAGTCTCATGGGACCGCGTTAGGGTTTCGGGTTCCCGGGGACTTTAATTCACGCACTAATTTTATTACTTCTCCACGTTATTTCGCTGACTTCGGTCAGATTATTGAAGGAGTGGCATGCAACAGTTCTGACGGCAGAGGGTGAATCTCGGACCAATTTTTGGTGACGAATGATGACATGGAAGTGAGTGGGAGATGAATCATGTCAGGAGGATATTCTGGTGATTATTTTTTCACTGTTTTTTGGAAGTTTGTCAAAGTAGGACTTTTTCAAGCCTTGGTTTGGGGTATTTTTCAGCTTTTCATGTTCACTGATTCAGTGGATTTTATTTGACAAGAAACAACAAAAAACTTAGTGAAAGTGGATATTTCTAAATTTAGATTCCGCTGTAACCTTTGGAAACCAGCTTTTACTAGATGAAAAGCTACAAATGCCAGAAAACAAATTACTACATCTATATTTCCCAGTTACGAGTAATTATATTAATCTCTCAGTAGATTCTTATAGTTATATTTTCACATCTTGCTAGTTAACTTACACATGTATATAGAAAAGTACTTGATAGAACACCTGGAAAAGCAACAGACTTATGAGACCCAACAGTTTCATTTTAGCCTATTCGATGTCCACCATCAACCATGTTTAGATAAAAGTTCTTATAACCTGATAATTTGCACTATATGTGGGAAAGGTTCTGCGACTATCGGGCTAAGGCATTTTCACCGGATATAATATTTTGGCTATTCGTTTGATCTTTATGATCGCGCCTGAGAAAGGGATATGCCCTTACTCGCACAACTATCCATTTCACTTCATAGTCTAGAGCACATTTGAGATCTTCTTTGTAAATCGGGTAGTAAAATTTGCTCTGTTGTGATGGCAGCATCGTCCAGATGGTAGAAATGAAGGTACCAACAAGAAAGGATGATGATGAGTTGAACAACTTTATCAAAGATTTGGCAGAGTGCAACGAGTAGGTCGGAGTAGAAAGCACGGTCTTACGAATGGTTTGACAACAAAGAATTTTCTCAACAATCAGTTCAGTATAATTGCAATCGTGACGCTTTATAGTCGAAAAGCGTAGATGCAATAGGTTGGACGAGAATAAACGTTCAATTTTTTTTTGCTGCGCATAACTTTGAAAGAAGGTATCCATCATATTTTGGTCATAAGATTGAAGTACTTCTGAGAGGTCTTTCCGTGATTAGATCCAAAGAAACATCGCAATCTTTTCTACCCGAAATCATCAATTAATCCATCTTGATTCATGAAGCATGACTAAATCCATATCTTGTTGGAATATTGCTAACACTGAAGTGCAGGGCTGTTGAGGAGATGCCTTCGGGTAAAATGAAACTTGTTTCATCCCATTAAATGTATTGATTTTTGTAGGGGTGACATCAAGTAATTTTCTCCACATATATTTGATGTATGCCAAAAGTTAGAATGTTCAGTAGATGTGCATAGGTTGTGTTGTAATTGATAATCGTATGTTCTTCTAGTATCAAATATAAAAACAATACACATGCATACATGTTATCCAATCTACATCAATTCTAGTACTTGCTTTTCCAAAATCAATCAAAAGTTAGTTGATTTTGAAGGAGAGGAAATGATATTGAATTTAGAAAGAAGAAAGGTAGACAACAATACTAATTTTTTCATTTTTTTACTATATTAATATTTTATTATACTTTTTATGCGATGATGATGAAAACAAGTTTTGATATATGTGAAAATAAGTTCGAATTAGATTATACTATTTAAGTTAAGATCAAGAATTTTTGCTACCATGTATATATATATATATATATATAGGAGATGGAGACATAGTTTGCCTTGAACACTATGCATGTTCTTCATCTTCTTAATCACGTTTACATAATCCAAGAGTGGCGCACCACGTAGTTTTTTGTCGCTGTCATTTTCTCTCATTATCATGTTTATAGATTCTTGTGTTTCTTGTTACAATTGGTATCAAAGTGCAGCCCATCGCCAATCCATTGAGGATAATTTGCACGGTCTTTAATTTATTAATTCCTTGTAGAGAATCTGAGATGTCATTTTTTCTCTTTATTATGTTTATAGATTCTTGTGTTTCTTGTTACAATTGATATCAAAACGAAACCAATCATCAACCTATTGTGAACAATATGCACGTTTTTTATTTTTTCAATCCCTTGTACATAATACAAGAGTGACAAACCACATAGTTCTTTTATCTATGTAATTTTTTCTCTCTGTCATGTTTATGGATTTTTGTGTTTCTTCTTGCAATTAATATTAGAACTCTATAGAATGAGAAAGTGATGTTGCGGAGTTACTGCCATTGCAGGAGTGTTCTTTGACATAGATGGAGTGTTGTGTGAGAACGATATATCGTATAGTAACATGAGGATGGCATTGTTTGCCAAAAAAGGAGTGATTGTGACAGCGGAATATTCAATCCGTTCATGTACACATGTGAACCTTTTTTATCATCAACCTTTTTGAGAGGCTAGATGCGTAAGTACTATCTTGAGTTCAACATTCAAGCTTTCAAGAAGCAATTTTTTGGACTTTATATAGAAAAGCATGGTCAATCAAATTCATGACTTGACTATTTATAAGCATTGAATCTTATGCAAGTGCAAAAAAGCAAGGTTCAAACTGGCAATGGTTTCAAAAGCCCATTGGATTAAGATGAACGTCAATTTAGCAACCGTTGTTTTATGTTGAACAAATTTTGACCTAGTCATCTTAGTGATACTTTTTGAAAACTTAAAGCTTCCACTTGAGTTTTTTTTATGTTGCCAAAACTCTAGATCTTTAATTTCAAAAATATATCATCATTGAAAATGCACTTGTTGTAGTCAAGGCAACCCATGCAACTAGAATGAGATGCATAATTCTCATCATCACTCTTGCTGGAACAAAGTTTATATCAGCAAAAACGTATGTGATGAAGAAAAGCAATATCTAGATCACACATAAAAAAATTCCTTCATTGTAGAAGGAATGTTTTTGATACCAAGTTCGAGATCAAGAAATATAAGATTTGCTTTCATGTGTGAAGAGTCTGAATTACTATTTTTTGATAGCATGCGAGAAAAGATGGTAAATGGTAAATGGTAATAGATCAAACCCAGAGGACCCAAAGTGTCAAAAGGTTGAAAAACACAATACAAGCAACAACCACAAACAAGGAAAAAGACCCCAAAGTCTAATCCCTAGCTAGTGTCAAGAGCACTAGAACTGTAACTAATAATGTCCCTAATATAAGAACCTAAATTAAAAGAAATTAACTATAACAAAGAACAGAAATTCTCTACATCTATATTATGAGCAACTCTAATGTCTTCGTACCTATAACAAGTAACAAATACATGCTCTTCATCCTCAATGTATTCACCGTCACATAATCTACAAATACGTTCACTCCTATCAATATTAAACCAACGTACTTCCTCAATTCCAAGCCTATAAGATCCAATTCTATGCCTAGCAATAATATGACGTAAGAACGTAAAGATTCTTGCAAGTAGGTGATACTGTTCACAATAAACAGGCATAGGATTCACATGAAGTTGATAAAACTACATCTTGGTGTCACGCTTGCTCCAAATAATGTTCACAAACTCCTCTTTCATACGTTCACATAGTGCTATAGGTTGCAAGTTCTAGTCGAGTTCCGTCACATTCCACCTCAAAGACCAAGTTATCACATCCGCTAACCATCCTTTGGCATGTGTGGCACTCAAAGATTGAGGAGGAAGGCGAGAAGCATCAAGAGATATCACCCTTTTGATGTAAGTGATGGTCCAGTATAGAGCTTCAGCCTCTAGAGGTAAACAACATGTTTCCGCAAGAAGAATAGCATATGAAGTTTGTTTTCTCACACCTAATTCTTCTTGTAGAAATATCTTCTGCACCCTCTCCACACACTCCTAACCTGTCTTCTTACAACCAGAACCCCACACTTGGATTCCATACAATACTACCGGCAACACTAAGCTTCTAAATAAAAATTTCCTAAGACTCCAAGACACTAGATGAACCCTTCTACACCGATTTAGCAATGAATATAGAGCTTTGTACCCACCTTCTACTCTCTTTTACACACAAAGTGCCTAACTATAATCATTAGAAAAATCAATGACTAGATATTTATATCTCTTCACTTCTTCTAATTGTAGATCTTGGTAATAGAAAGAAAACTTGGATCTAGTGCCCACTATCATGACTTTAGAGTTCTCTATATCTACCTCCATCTGATTCTGGGTACAAAAGGTAGCCAAAGTGTATAGATGTTTCTATAAACTAATTGCATCACGTGCTAGTAATATGATATCATATGCATACAAGAAAACTTTGATAACAAAGTTTCCAAGCTTGACACCTTCACTATTACATGCCTCCAACCACTCTTCGATATTATCTATAAAAACTCCAAATACAGTAGGAGAGAGAGTACAACCTTGAATCACTCCAATGGTACTCAAAACCTCTTCAGTTTGAGAAGTGTTGATCTTGGCTCAAACAGAATGGTATAACGTGGTCATAGCTGCTAGAAGATCTGATGGTACTCCAATGACTTGCAGCCTTTCCCATAATAGCTCAGGAGGTACGGTGTCAAAAGCTTTCTTAAAATCAATGAAGGCACAAAACAAAGCTTTTTTGTTGCCCTTTGACTTCTCCCATAAAACACGCAA